GGGGGGTGGTAGAGCCATCTGGTGGCGCTGCGGGGGGTAGCGCCACCGCGGGGGGTAGCGCCGCAGCGCCGCGGTCGATACGCCGCGAGAGGGAAAGAGAGAGAGGAGGGAAGTACCGGGCCGGGCGGGCTCGTCAGTCACTCCGCTACAAGAGCGCGCGTCACTCGTAATCCCCGGCCCATTCCGTGGCGAGGGGGATCCTGATGGCCAATCGGGGCTGCTCGTCCGGCCCAGAACCAGGCGGAAGGGGAAAAATGGGAGCCCCAACAGGGGGGATTTGTGCAGCAGAGGAGGGTATAGCGTGGCAGGAGGCAGTGCGATCAGAAACAGCGGTGCATCAGACAGCCAGCGGGTGCTCTAGGCGGTGTTGGTCGTGGTGCCCTAGATCTCGCATGCGACTACAATACGACGGCCGTCTTGCTGCCAAAGGCTATAGAGAGGGATAGGAGGGGCTTAAATCATGGAGGCGACGTGCCAGGCCAGCCCGGACACAGCCACTTGGCAGGGGGCTGTCCTGTCAGGAGTGCGCGAGGGGCACGTAGGGGTGTGGGGGGGCTCAAGGAGGGGCCCCAAGAGGGGCGCCCTGCTCTGCCCCCCGCTGGCCGGTGCGGTGAGGGAGGAGGAGCGCCGGGCGGGTGGGCCGCGCGGCCACAGCGCTGCACGCCGGATGGCCTATCCCCACGTGATCGGGCGCTTCGGCCAGGCCAGACCGCCGTTACACAGTGGGGGGGAATCGACCTCGAACCGGCCACAACAATTTGTCGCGTTGCCGCGATCGATCGAATATTTTGGGTTTTCCAGAGCTGATGTGTCATTAACACATGCTCTAGCCTAACAAACTCAAAAATATAAAAGAATAAAAATATATATTGTTCTATCAGTATGTAAGAATGTAAAGTATGAATTCTTCCAGCTAGATCGACTGGAACAAAGCTAAACTGGTAGCAATGCCCAAGTGTTCAAACATCCAACTGAATTGGTGAACAATGGCAGAAAAGTACAGTTGCCCGCACTTATGTTTTCATGTGATCAACCTATTGGTTCACCTCTAAGATAACACGTAGTGTGATGCAACAGGTTGCACCTTCAAAACATTTGTGATTATTCAGCAAAACTATGTGCTCAAAGCACTCGGACTAAAATGAAAGAAATTGAAATCAAGAAAAAAGGAATTGTTAAAGCTAAAACGTACACTAAATAGTACTATAGTTTTACACCGTCTCAAATGCTACAACAATTGTATTGTGCATCCAAGTTTCGATAGCTGAACTAAAATGTTGTCGCAAGCAGCTGCTCAAAGCTGATGTTACGGCAAAATACATCTTTATTACCCCATTTGGTACAATAATTGCATTGCCAATAAAACTTGTAACCACTGCCATTGTTCTCAGACATGAGAAAAGGCAGAGGTTGATCACTATCAGTATGCCATTTTCAGAATTTTAATAACTCTAGTGTAACTGTTGTTACCCTAAACATTTTTTGATACAATATTTTACGTGTGTTCTACCACATTCTAGTTAACGTCTTCAGCAAAGATAACCAAGCTTAGCCTAACCTAACACATTAAATGGGTGTTAAAATGCTACCTATAAGCTGTCAAAAAGACAAAAAGATAGGAACTTACCTCACAATTTCTCTTGTGCAAGCTCACACAATCAGGGCTCAGAATCGGGTGACAATTATAAACATTATAAATCCACTTCTACAAAACCAAAACCGCGCACTACGCCATGACAGTAAACACTAAAGGTAGCAGACTGGTCCAGTGTTACCACCATAGCTAGAAAGTCAGAGACGGAAACAGAACTCGGAAACAGCTTGCCGGTCACACTTTATCACTTTTGTGACAAAGCCTCAAATTATGAACAGTTTTTTTTTCCACCCGACCCCACTAAAGGAAACCCCGAAAAGTTATCGCCATCTTTTGATAAGGTGTTCCCAGCACATCAAAACGCACAAATGGGTAAAGAAAGAAAGAGAGAGAAAAAAAGGCTGGCCGGGCGGGTCCCAGGTGGGACTCGAACCCCAGCGCGGGTTGCCGACTGGTCGAGCTTCTCGTACAATGCGTAAAAATTCAAACATAAAAAGGAATAATTTGAAGGCGCGCCGAGTATTAGAACCCCCGACTCACAGTTCAAACATTGCAGGAGACCGGTCTCGAAACGGCAGGTGAGAGGGTGTCGTGATGGGACCGGTTCTTCTCCCGCTCAAGCTACTGCGCTGACTCGTGCCTTTAGCCTAGCTCGCCCGATCACATACACTGTGGCGGCGTAGCCGCGCCGGTAGACAGTCGGCCCCGTGCGCCACACGTCAGGGGTTCGAATCTCCGATTCCAGCTACATTTTTCTGAACCGGTCGAACTCTTGGAGTTGAACTTAAACCCGTCATTTCAATGGGCCACCTTCGTGGATGAACGAACGGTCTGGTGGTTAACGCTGTCCCACTGGGCCGGGGGTGACGATGACTCGGCACTGGGGTCCCATTAGGGGCAAAGGTTCGACCCTCGGCGAAAGCGTGCCGAGTAAGGGCCATCCCAGCCACAGCGGGAGTGGTAACCCGTGTGGAATTGATAAGTCCTTAGAATCTGGCTCCTCGAAGGGATTCCACGACTCGGAAGCTTTCCGCTCGGATCGCATCTGGGTGCAGTACAGGCTAACCACCGTACGCCCGTCTCCTCTCTTTCTAACTCCCTCCGCCCTACCCCCCATTCCCGGTCAAGCGGGCAGGTGGGAACCTAGTCGATGGCTGTAAACTCCGGTGTGAGCGAGATAGTCAAGAAACCCGGCCCTCAGCTGGGAGCCTGAAAACACCGGATCCCATACCGAACTCCGAAGTTAAACAGGCGGGTCCCCGTGTCAAAGCGGGGTGGGTAGGGCCCACATTTTTTTCCTTTTTGGAAATTTTATAGGTAAAGTGAATCCGGCTCTAAGAGGCATTTTAACTGCCGGTTGCACGGAGTTGATTCACGTCTAAAGCTTGGTGCCACACTGCCGCACTGCCCGTAAGGCGCTCCGGACACCTGGGGTAGGCGGTACGCGCGAACGCGCCGTTGCTGGCGGGTTTGCCTACTTCTGCCCAGAGAGGCGCCCCGGCAACCACGAGTGGGCAAAGCCGCCCGCACCGGCGCGTGCACCGAAACACCAGAAACACGCGTTACATAATGAATCGAAATTACGCCGAAGATGTTTTTGCTGATTATATCATAGGTTTCAAGATGGGCTACCGTTTCATCAATTACACTTGACCTAATCGGCGTGTTTTTCTACGGATCCTTCGAATCGAACAAACACGTGAGTTTGTTCAGCTGACGTAGTAGACCGCGCGACTTTGGTCCTCTCAAACCATTGCCCAAGAGGGGCGCCCTGCTCTGCCCCCCGCTGGCCGGTGCGGTGAGGGAGGAGGAGCGCCGGGCGGGTGGGCCGCGCGGCCACAGCGCTGCACG